GAACTGACACGTGTTTGTACAAATTGTCAAACAGCCGCCTATTTGCCTGTTCCCTCTGTCTTGGGGCCGCCATTTCTCTTTCGCGAACAAAAAAAAAAGAAGAAGAAAACAAAATGTTGCCTCTTCTTTTTACCCGCTCACTTCTTCTCTCCTTTGACGGCGCCTCCAGCGCTAATGAGTAGAACCATGAATTATTCGACGGCTTCATTGTGTCCGACTCGGAGCAGGTGGAACTCATGTTAACAGGCCACGGTGTATTTCCCTAAACTTGTCATGACACAATATCTTTAATTAAGCATTTAAATATATTATAATAAATATCTAATCAATTCAACAAGTTTAACAACAAATAAAACTCCTACACACGCCTCGAAGTCTTCATCATCTAACAAAACTAAATGATTGATGCAATCTGTAAAAATTCAACCAAGACAAATCCTAACACATGACGTTCACTGTTCGACATGAAACTTGCACTCTTATTTACCTTGATAATGTCCTAATTCCTCATACCGATGAAGTACACTATGTTCGACTGACGCTTGACAGAAGAACGACATAGGGCCCACATATCAACAAAAAAAGTAAACGTTAAACCTTTGACGACGACTATCATACTCACTTATTTCGAGACTCTCAAAATTAAACTTTAAAAAGAAACTGAACACTTAAATTTATCTACTAAAACCTACATGGACTTTTCTGTCAAAAACTTTCCAAACTCTAACTAAAGCTTCATGGTAAGCCACAAACATTACTTTACATAAAGATCTAAACATGCCAACAGTTTACAACCACAGATTTTCCGATAACTTGCACGGAAATACAAATACACTCATACAAGACATACCCAAGATTAAAATGCACGAAACCCCGTTTAGGAGGAACAAAAGAAGATGGATGGGAGCTTTCCTAGCTTAAAAATATACTAAAATCCAGACAGGAAGGGATGCCGCTGGGCACTCCTCTCCCTCACGCCAATCAAGTCACTACCAGTATTCTTCCCGAGTCATTGATGGTCAGTACTTCTGACATGCGTGGATGAAGAAATAAAGTTAAAACTAAATATTTTATATATTTCAATACACTGGCTACTCAATATAATGTTATTCGCTTCGTCGTTGGCTAAAGTAACTACAATAATACAGCGTTCATGCGGAAAAATATGACAAAGAATATTCCAGATAACACGAAAAACCCATTAAGACCTATTTATCATTATCAGTAAAAAAAAAAAAAAATTATAAATAAAATACAAGCAAATATAGAAAAATATTAAGAGTAATTGTCAATAATATTTATAAAATTTGAAAAACTATTTTTTTTTAATACTTAGGAATTTAAAATTATTTTAATCTATGATGACTAATGTGTCATAAATTATCAAAACAAAGTAACTTGGGCGTTATAGCTTTGTAATGGATTCGGGGTTTAATTTTGAACGTGACTAACATTTTTTATAAATGTTTTTTTATATTTTGGTGGTTGTTATCACTCTAATCTTCTGTAATTAGAGTGATAAAAAACCACCAAAATATAGAATAATGCTTTTGAGAAATGAAATAAAATTTGTATTTATTTTTCTTGACTTGTCCTTACATTTAGTAACTGAGCTACATACGTCGTCATTTAAAAAGATATTATATCATTTTTTAAGGATTTGGTTCAGATCGCTCATAGAAACTAATATTGACCAACGAAAAAAATAATTTTATATCTAGTCCAAAAGCTCCCTCCTTAAATCCGCTGGTACTATAATTCTAAGCAGAATATATTCTTGATAAAAATCATGTTCTTCCAAAAAATATGGCAGTAGATGTTTTTTCACAGTTCTATGAATCTTACAAGAAAGCGACCAGTGACTAAGAAGGAATTAATTGTTATAAATACAAAAAAACAAATCAAGGTTTGGACAATCACAGTATATGAATCGAACAAGTCTATTTCCCAAATTTTAATTTATTTATTCTTTAATTAAAGTTTTGGTACCGACTCGATTATCATTCAGCAAAATTATTTCTTCCGAAAGCAGTCGAATCAGAGGCGATTAATTTTTTTTTGGTTTTTCCCTTAGGGCAGTGTAAGGATCAAGCAACAAAATGTATATGCATACATTTCATGTTCTAATATTGTAATAGATGGAAAATAAAATTGAGGATAAGAAGAAAAAAAAATCTTTTTTGGTAGACATAACGAAACGTCTAAATAAAGTATGCTATCACTAGAGAATATTATTTTTTTCTTCGGAAAAAAGACTGGATGTATTCGACACATATTCGACACAAATATTTAAAAACGAAAGTTTACTCAGAAAAAGTTTAATTTCTTTAACAACTCCCATTCACTCTCTTCTATACAGATATAGGCCGAGCTTTACAGAAAGATCTAGAGCAAATATTGACTCCAACATCTAATCAACACTGACCTAAACGAACATCAAATATCGATAGCTAATTGAATAAACTTTGCAGGGGCTAGGAGTCGCTGACGAGAAAAACCAATATCCCAACAGGCTTAGATTAAATAAAGCTCCTCCGAGTGTTTATTCTTAAACGAGCTCAAAAAGAGCATGTTTACATATAGCATTAAAATGTTTGAATAAGATGGCTGTTTACAGGGCCAGATGCTAACGCCTTCTGCTGGGGCAAGTCCCCGTTCAACAACCTCCATGTTTGTTATCCCTTGTCTACGACATGGGCAGGGATAATTTAGTGGGGTAGTAGCTGACCCTGAGCTGTTATTTGATCAGAGGCTAAAATCGATGGAACCTGATCAACTTAATACTTACTACTTATGAAATAACAAAGAGGAGCAGGTTTTTTCTTTTTAGAAGTCATGTACATATTTACAGATATTAAAAAAAATAAATAAATACATTATTACAATCTAGAGGTTACGGGATACTAAATACTGGAGGGTCTTAAGTTCAATACTGTTTTTAAAAGAATACTATTTCCTTGCCAAAGGTTGTTCTAACCGCTAGGTTTTGCCTTCAGAATTAATTATTTAATTAGTAGTAACCGGAGGCTAAGTAGTTTACGGAAGCTGAGTGTGTCCCAGAAAGGTCTCCTGACACTAGGATCGATCCACGGCTGATGTAACTGAATCAGTAATTACCTTCCACAGACTGGAACCTGGGATATAGGAGAAAAAACTGACATACTTATTTACTTATATACATATCTTACGTTTGCTTATAACTTATACATAACTTTTCAAATAATTCACTGTTTTTTTTTTTCAAATGTGTGTATTAGGTTGTTAATATCTCATGATATACCCTGAAAATTTTAAATTAAATAATTTTTTTAAAAACTATTTATTCAAGATATTTACAACTGTATTACAATATAAATACATCAAGCAAATGTGTACACAAGATATTCTTGTGTATAATCGCTTGAAAACACTTGTTGAGAAACTACCCACTGGTAGCACCCTAATAATATACCTATATAAGGAGATCAGGGGGTCTTCTTTTCTCTTCTTCTTTTCAGACGCTTCAGAGGGTTATTATGTTTCGAAGAAGAAGCAAGGTTAGAAACGAGAGAATTCGGATGGTTATGAAGTTTATTATGGAAAGATAGGTATCTGGATTGGGCCAAGTCGGAAACATATGGAACATTAAGGTCATTATGGATTATTTCATTTGTGACAAAGTAAGGAGCATTGAGGATTTAACGAAGGATTTTGGGTTGTATTAGATACGAGAGGAATTAGATGGTTTAGTGAAGCCCCATAGCTCAACTCCGTAAGTCCAAATAGTTCTTAGTATAGTCATGTATATTAGTCTTTTGTAATTAATTGGTAGTTTAGAGTTCTCTAGTAAGTGTTGGAATAAGCGGAAACGTCGTGCAGTTTCTCGTCGTTTCAGTCTCGTATGAGAATTGAGAAAAGTGAGACGTTTGTCCAGGTGGAGTCCAAGATTTCGTATTTGTTCAAGAGGGATAAGTGGGGTGTTATTAAAAGATACTATAGGACAGGAAGTCATAAGTTTAATTAAATAATTATTATTATTTTTTAATTTATTAAAATTAAAACAGTCTTTTTTATTTATTTAGGTTTTAAGGTATTTGAATTACTTAAGAGGAATAACTTTGGATGGATAAAATTTATGTCAATTACTGTGGGTTATCAACTCAAACATAGAATTGGTCAATTTTCTATATTTCCACCTAAGGTACAAATACAAAAATTCATTTTGCAATATTTAATGGTTAATTTTCTCTCTTAACTATTACCCATCCTTGCTTTTTATATAACTTATAATTCGGTGTTAGGAGCATATAAAAAATTACACAAGTGTTTGAAATATTTTTTGTCCGAGCAACCAGTTTTAGAATAAAAATAGTTCGAAATATCAATATTTCTCTTTCAACGGAGTTCCTATAATATAAGTGTTTCTCTTTCATTAAAAATATTTTTATAGAAAATTTATCGATACCAATTTAAATCTGTATTCTAAATTAAAAAAAAAAACTTAGTAATTTTAAGCATGAAACTTCCGAATGTTATCATTTAATTAATTTCTTCTTGACGATTTGGTATTTTAATCCCATCCTGGGAACTTTTTATGAAGAGGATCCTTCAACCTTCATCACTAAAACGTTTCAACACCAATAATACTCTTCCCTCAACAGCGGAACAGAAATAAATGGGTAGAAATACTTCATCGGCTATCTAAATATAAATATAAGGATAATACAAACAACATACTTATAGTGTAAAATAGATTTGCAAACTAACTCTCCTCTATTTTTTTTTTTTTTTTTTTTTTGGAAGGAAGCCAGTTGATAAGAAACAGAAACAAATAGTAAATATTTGAGGGACAACATCGATCAACGGATTTGACTCATTGAATTATACGAATTAATAAAGTGAGCCAAACCGTAGATAGGAAGATAAAACCGTATTCAACTGAATAGGATTATTACGACATTCGTATGAAGACAGTGATGCCTAGGGGGCTCCTCGCCGCTAAGTCCAGATATTATTATAATCTAGAACATGACAGATGTCACGGGTATCAGCCGCGCCCATATCTGTTCCAAATACTTTGAGCTCTGGGGATAATTGAGGGGCACGGTATTGACAGGGCCCCTACTGTAATGAAAACATTAACGTGAATAATATTTTGTAATAACAGCCGTTCGAACGTTATAAAATATTTTAGTGAAGAAATATGAAAAAAAAGAGTCAATATTCTGTTGAAATATTTAGTGGGAACTTAGGGCAAATAATTATAAAATGATATTCACTAGCATACGGTGTCTCCAAGGATATATATATATATATATATATATATATATATATATATATATATATATATATATATATATATATATATATATATAAGCCCTTATAGTTGAAGTATTTAATCAATTTTTACCGACGTTTCTCAATTCATATAAACAATAATTTCCAAAACCTTTCCATTATATTATTCTATAATATCAAGCATTCTTGCTGAATCTCCACTGGGTTTAGCCCCAGTGACGCAGTTGAGAGAGAAATGCAGAGATCTCCTGGAGCCATGCTTTCCCCTCCATAGTTGGAGGGACAAGTCTGGCTGGGAGTTCTCTCGCCTAATTGTAAATATTGTATACAGGTATGTATGTGTTCTTTTTATTTATTTATTTTTAGGTTATTTTATTCTTATTTATTGTATATATATTATTTTTCTGTATAATTTATTTTATTTATTGTACATAGAGTGTGAATGTGATCTCTGAACACTATTATAAATGTCCTAGGGAAAATTGCAATGTTTTTCAATAAATAAGATTTAAAATATATATATATGTATATATATATATATATATATATATATATATATATATATATATATATATGATATTTCTGGTCTACATATATACTGGTAAAAATATATACTACCATGTCCCCCGTATTTTATTCGCATATTGTATGCTTGTAAATTACAGAACTCGGCACTACCTTGTCCTTACTATAGTTTAATATGGACTGCCATATTAACAAATAGTAAGAAAAGATTCTGTAATTGACAACAATACATTATGCTAATAAAATGCAAGAGACATAGTAATTTATATATTTGTAGACATTAAAATAGATATAAAAGAATAATGTACACATTTTTTGTAGATATTAGACTGAATATTACTAGATTGAGCCGTCATGCTCGGATATGTAATGCTCATTCGGATAAAGTCGACTAATTTTTGCTTTAGGATTAAAATATCCCAGAAACTAAAAAGCAAGGGAAATGTTTAGCATTTCATCCTCTTTAAAATGAGCTATAGTCCAAATTTTTATCTTGAAGTAATGACGTGTTAAATAGGCAAAAAGGGAAAAATATAGCTCAAAAATAAAATAATAACAACTGTTTTGAACAATTAGATTAAATTATCTCACAATTTAAATACTATGGAGAATTCCGAAACCAATTTGCAGAAGTCAACTTTGTTTTTTTTAATTAGCCTTAAAAATAAGAAATTAAGTTTTTCTATTCGATTATCTGTTGCACTCGGTAGTATTTTTTTGGTATCAACATTAGATTTAGATACGTCGAATGATCCAAATGAAAGCGCAACAAAATATGGATAACGATTGACGGAGTTTTCCTAAGATATTTAGCTAATAGATTTTAATCAAAAGTATTTATTCCATATTTGAGTCATTACAAACCTACTGTTTGTCATTTTTAGAGTATGACACAAATGGCGATGGGTCAGAGAAAAGTTAACCAGAGTAATCTACATAATTATAATTTATTTATTGTACCTAATTGTTATTACTTTGTGAATAGATAACAAAAAATTGTTAATAATAAAACAAATTTTGTTCAAAAAGCGGTATTCATCGCCTCCAAACCATAGATCCACCACCTTTAAAATTCTACTGCATTGTTCGTCGAATTGGCAAAGACGGATGCGTAGACGGAACGCAAGAGATTCACGAATTGCCGCTATTATAGAGCTGCAGTTCCGCCATCACGTGCACTGACTGGGTGAAGAATACTAAATATGTTTTATGAAATTATTGTTTTCTGTTACATAATACTTTAGATTTAATACTTTAGATTACTGGTTTCAAATAACAGTGACGCGGCTGAGATAGAAGCACTGGGATCTCCTGGAGTCCTGCCTTGTAAATATTGTACATAGGTGTGAATGTGATTTATTTACTTTAATTTCATCAAGCTTTAATCTATTACTTCATTATTTTTTTGTACACAGGCATACCAATTTACTTATTTTATTTTTTTTATATTTCTTTCTCTTTATTATTGATATTAATTGTATGTACATATTGTGTGAATGAATCATGTAGCCATAATATTAATGCTCTTCAATGTGGCAGAATGTATTAATATTCAATGTTTCTTTTTTTTTCTTTTCTTTTAGTTACAATTCATTTATTTGTTTTTGTTATTGTATTACTGTGTATATGGTATGAATGTTTTGCATATAGCTTTGATAATTACGAGAGGAACAAAAAAATATATACAAACATATATATTGTTGTAATGCATACTGAAAACAGGGATACTTTTACTTGATACCATAAAAAAATTAATTTTTTTACACAATTTCAGCTGAATCTCAGATTTTTCCCGAATGCTACTTTTCTGCTGAAAAGTGGTATATTGTTTATATAAACTTCTTTTGTAGCTCTTGAGCTGTGCTATCACTCCTATAATAAATTTCCCTCTACTTACAGGATACCCTGCATATTATTATTATTTCTTTTTAATGAAATATTGGTTTTGATATTACAATAGGAATGGAAAATATAGTTTTTCACATTTCCTCAAAAATGTCAATAATGATTAGAATTTAATTTGGAAATAAACTACTCAAAAGAAATTATATCAGAAATATTTATGAAATTTCGCAATAGTTTAAATACAACCATTGCGTTGCTTCCAGGCCTACCTCACATTCATTAGATGTCTGACAATCTTATCGATTCCAAATACGGCAACTTTTTGGCCAGGTGTAAGTCGAAGACGGAGCGCTCCCAGGTGGTATGCGGAACGTCCCATCAGGACAGAGGTCTTGATCAGCGGGTGATGGTATATTGATGGTCGTTGGATATTATTGATGGGTCTCACAGATACATTTGTAGTCTGGTAGCGCACGCACCTCCCGAGTCTCCTCTCCTGTTAATGACCCCTCTTACCATTTCTGTATTTTAGGTTGAAATATTCCTCTCAGAGGATGATGGCGAATAGCTCCCTCGCCGTCTAATGTTCTTGTCACGTCTGGGAAACCGTTTCCTATATTTAATCTCGACACAACTCCTCAAGATAGCTTAATATCCCCCAACTCTTGCAAGGTTCTACACACGAATAACGTCTATAAAGCTATTACTCGGAAATTTCCTTATATCCTTTTCATGGAAACGTTTTTAATAAACTTGCCAAGGATTTTTTTTTCTTCTTGACATACATGTATGTATATTATTAATATTACAAAAGTCGTCATATATTAGATTGAAAAATAATATATTATCATGAGCTTATGACATAGCTATCTATACCACAGAGATTATTTTATCGAAGTAAATTTCAAATACGGAATATTGTTTATCATCATTATTTTTAGATAGAACAAACAATTAAAATAAATACATAACGTGGATAAATGATCATAAAATCCAATCTTTTTATTATCGTCAAAAAATATTAAGGCAATTTGTTTAATATATTTATTAAGATATATTACAATCTGCTTCAATTAAGGATTTTTATAATAGTGTTCAGAGAGCACATTCACATTATATTTACAATAAATAAAAATAAATTAAACAGAATAATAATAATACTAAAAGTAAATGTATACAAACAAAAATAACTAAACTAGTCGAATTAACAACTTAAACACCAGCATACTTGAGGCAATTTTTTTGATGAATTTTAAGTTATATATAAACGTCAACAAATAATTTATAAACTTTTTGTCCGTTTACCAGAAAAATTTATGTATGTACAAAATATGTAATATAAGACTTAATATATGTAAGATTCAATGCCGACACCACAAACAATGTCTAACAAACTCTAACAAAATGTCAATTCACAAGATGACACCTACCACAATAATTCTTTCTAGGCTTCGGTCTACTCTAATCACACAATCAATTGTTAATCACAGGGATTAAAAAATTCGTAATAATTTTGTATATTCGTCCCAGAAATTTAAACAATAATAAAAAAAAGCTATTTCAAAAACTTTATTTTAATTAAAGTTGATTGTTATGTTATATAATATGAAGAGATATGTTATGAATTGGCAATTTCATATTCACAAAGTAAGTATAATTATTAATCAGATTTTAAAAATTTTGCTTGGGAGTATTTTTAATAGAACAACAACGGTGAAACAAAAAAAGTTTCTTATTCCAAGAAAATAATAAAAACTAAAAACAACCGACATGGATTATTTTTAATTAAAATTAATTGTGTGTTTCAAAAAAATACAATTTACTTTTAGAAACATAAAACAAAACCAGAATGAAATTTATTTAACTAAAAACTAAATTAAACAAGCCTTTTCTCTGCAGTCATTAAAGGATCGGCTTTTTTTTTGTTATATTATTTATTAATTTGTAGCTGTTTTTTTACTATCCCGCCAGCATGCACTCTAAAATAATAAATTCTATTAACATATAAATTGAATTGCTTTTATTAAAATTTTTAAAGAAATTCCCAGTAACTTTATGACAATTTACTGTTTGTAAATTCAATTCTGAAAACTGCTGGTAAATATGATTGAATCAAAATATGTATGTTACTTTTATAATAAAAAAAACGACATATTTAGCTAAAAACAGGGAATAAAAGTGTCTATCGAAGGTGTGATGGGAACTGGAGGTGTCGCTCGAGTCCACTGCTGCATGGCGTATAAAACTTTCAAACCCCTCTTAAACCTCTCTCTGCTCTAATTCATAAAAATTCAATTTTAAAGGCTAAAAAAATAAATTTTAAATTAAATATTTGTATTCAGAAATGACAGAGTGAGCGAAAAACACTGGAAAAATGTGTCTTTAATGGATTGTTTTAAAAATACAGATACTATTCTAAACTTAAAAGTATAAGATAATCAACGATATGAGTCAGGAGCCCCCAAAAAAATCGGGACTTTTTTTTTAAACCTAATCATTGAAGAATCAAAATTAAAAATTCATACTAGTGCCCAATATATATTTTTGATTAGTTTATGGATCTAATTATTTGGATTATCTAGAAAGAACCCGCTATTACTTTTTTTTTTCAAATCTCAATTCTGGAGCATGGGAAAATATTTGTGTCAACACATTTATATGTTTTATAGATCTCAGGATTTTTATAGATCTCTATCTATAATGAAATTTATTTCTGGGGCTGCTAATTTGATTATTTTCTCTCTGACATATATTAAAAATTTCCAGAGAATAATATATTAGCTAATATCTAATATAACAGTTGTAAAATTCTCCGAGACCTGTTTTCTTCCCACCTGCTTCCGTAACACCTATCAAATGTAGCCCACACATAATGATACCCGAGATGTCATAAGATGAAATAGAGACAATGTGCAATAGATGCTATCTCGGAGGGCTTAGCCAAGATGCCCTGCGGCTGCCTCGGTGCAAAATCTCTCGGTGCGGGGGTTGGCTGAATTTCGAAACAATTATTTCTTAATAAAATATTTGCATTCAACAACAGGCAGAATGATCAGTTATTTCAAGGAATTTTGTGTATTCATAATGTTGTATTTCTTATTTTGGAAAATTGTGCTACAGACAAAGATGAAGGTATGAAAAATAATACCTTACACCGATCTGGTACAAGTAATTGACAAGAATGAAACTTTTTATCAGTGTACTATTTAGTTTTATTTTCTACCGCTTACAGGGTCAAGAACGCTCTATAATTGGATCAAAGTTTTTACGGGTAGATTTTCTTTTCAGAGCTCCTCCAGAGTAAAACACAAGGCATGGTCCTGTGCAAGGTTCGTCCCTGGAACGGGTTGACCAATATTTTTGGCGTAATATTGTCAAGCGTGTAGGAGAAAAAACATGGATTTCTGTAGACAGTAACGCCAAAACGATTATAAACTTTTTGACAACACTTGTCATGATTATTTGTCTTATATATGTTATTTATAAATTTTAAAAAAATTAAAGAATATATATTATCTTTAATCTTATACAAGATTGGTTCACACTATGAAAAATTCGACTTAATCATGACAAATCCAAACATATAACATTTACTCTTCGAAAAAACTCCTGCCCTCCAGTTTATATTTACAACAATCAAATTCCTCAAACAGACATGTTAAAAATGTTTGGGGTCCACATGTAAAAATGAAACGTAAGACACTTAACAAACGACTCAAACTACTTTACTCTCTTTTTTCTAAATCTTTAAAACTAAAAATAAAACAGAGACTGAATACATATACATACTTACTTAAGCCCATATGGACATACTCACCACAAATATAAGGCATCGCTAAAAAGACCCACCTAAAAAAACTTCAAACGTTCCAATCAAAATTATTGCGATTCATAACAAAAGCACCTTAAGCTCTTTACGTGATTAACAAAACTCTACATACTGACCTCCACTTTCCAACAGTTGACCAACATATAACGACCCTTTATCAACGATTTTACACAAATTTAAATGGACATAATAACAGACTTATAAGAGACATGGCCACAGCTGACATACCTCAGAACATGAGGAGGAGACTAAAAAGGCGTTGGATGAGAGATCTCCTTCCTTAAACAACTTAAGTAATTGGAACAAGTTAGGGAAGAGGTACTGCTGAGTACTTTCCTTCCCCATGCCTGTCATGTCATTATTTCATGTATCGCCATCACATTTGCTGATTGCCAACAATAAGTTGACAGGCGCAAATACATTTTTTATAGACAAAAAAATATATACATTGATTCATGATTCAAAAATTAAAAATTTTATAATTTGATATGAATGTCATGGAGGGCGGAATATCCAAGCAGAGTAAGGCGTTTGCAACAGGCAATCAAAGCTAAGTAACGCCGGACATGGTAAGTAGTTGGATGCATGGCCACCCGAACTGAGTTACCGTCCAACATTTTAACTCAAACATGATTCAATTGCCTACAAACTAATTCGAAAAATGTTAGAATATTATCCTCTGAATATTATGTATAGAACTAATCTTTTAATTTAATGTTAAAGTATAATTTAATATTAATATAATCGGGTGTAGTAATCTATAAATTTATCGCCCTAAAACTCCTACCTACCTTTAATATTAATATTTAAAACATAAAATGTATTTATTGATTTTATTGCTATCGTGTATGCATAATGTTGGAAATTTTAGATTTCGCATTAATTTGATAATTGGAACTATTTGAACTGTCTGATTTTTACCGGATAAGATTTTTATTTTATACTTAAGAGTGTTGTAATATCTGGGATTTAGTATAAAAAAGAATAACTTTATAATACCATAAGGACAATAATGTTCTTTATATAGTGATATACTCATTGATTTCAATATTATGAAGTGTTCATTGAATTGATTGATTATGCTTGTAGAAATAGCTGAATTTAGATATCTTAAAATTTGTTTCGAAAAGCTAAGAAATAAATGTTACTAAGCTAATCCTGCTCTATCGAAATATAATTAGTGTTCTCAGCAATGCAATGGGGAAGGAAATATAGTTTATGAAACCAACTCAGCCATAATTAGAACAAATATTAACAGGATATTAAATAAGTATAAACAACATTTGCAAGACGGTGATAGGATAACAATGCGTAGCTCATCTTATAATGAACATTTAAATCTTTTTCTTAATAATGATCAGATCCCCCAGTATTAGTTGATACTGACTAATTTCGAATATACGAAACTATTAATGCAGATCCAACTGTTGGGAAAATATATAATCAAGATATAATAATAAAATTTCGAAATTACTCCACAACTGGAGTGCGAAATGTGCAACACTAAAGAAAACGAAACACTTCATCATATATTATTTATATGTCTAATT